CGCTTTTCCTGGGGTCCAAGCGCATCATTTGCAAGGATGTGACTTTACCCCCAGGACTTCTGAGCAGCCTTGTGTTCTCCCGAGTGTCACCTACTGGCACCCTGTGCCTTAATGAGCAGAGCCCTTTGTAAGGAGCGTCCTGTGGGCATGCCCTGGTGCTTCTTGTTTTTTAGAGCCAGAATGGGTCACGTCACCTTTGCCTCCTTGCCTTGTATTCCAGCGTAGGTGTCCTGTGCCGGCGTTACGCCCTGAGGCTAGAGCCTTCCTTAATCGCTGCGGTGATGCCCCGTGACGGCAATGTCACTGCTTCCCCCGAACGCTTCATTTCTAATTGCTCCAAGTCATTCTAAATTGCTGCCATGTAGGAATCGATGGTGTAGGATCAATATATACATCAAACCGCTCTGTGGTTTGGATTACTGAGGTTCTGTTGTAGGGCGTGCAGGGTTTTAACCGCGCTGTATTACTGCCCCCTGCAATTCACTGCTTTATGCCTTTTCTTTGACGGCGCCCGCACTGATGATTTACACAGCCCTGCGAGTGTGTGTGCACGTTTCCCTGAGACGGCTACGCGGGAAACGTCGCCTTAATTATGACTGCAGAAGTTTATCATATGGAGTAATTAGGCAATAATCAGCATGCTTCCATGGGAAGGACTGAGCGCTTTCCTTTCCCTCGGCGCTTCGCAACGCTTCAAAATCGTAAACAGCCTTAGGGGAAAAAGTGAAATGTAAGGATGGGCTATTTGTACGCGCATATTGAACAGTCGCTGAAAACAGCAGCAAAAGGTGCCCCGTTCCATGTATGCACTAAGTAAGGGTGTTTCAAGTTAAAAAAAAGAATAAATAAAACAGTTACAGGCCAGTTTTCACTTATCAAGTAGTATAGCGTGAGCGCTTCCAGACTGCTGTGGGTCTGCTGGTCTGCTGCATGCTTGAATCACTTGCGTATCTGTATCAAAAGCCTTATCCGTTTCACAGTTAATTCAGAGCCGCGTGAGCTCTGGCAGCAGATTGACAGGTTTCCTGATGCGAGGGTTACTGCCTTTATTAGGAATCAAAATTGTGGAAGGCTTTTCTCTTCTGTTTTCTTTCAAATGAAATACTCTGTTTACAGTCAGCTCTACCTATCAGAGTTATGTTAGAGCGAGACTTTGGAAAGAGAGATCATTTTTTGTTCTGTGAGCTTAATTTACTTTCCTGGAATAAATTACTGTGCTTCCTGCGTCGCTGTTTATATAGATCCTTCTGGATCCTATGAATTACCCTTGTTAAGGCTTAAAAAACTGCATTCCTAAATCAAGTTGTGAAGGTTGCTAAAGCAAGCGTTTCTTTTCTTAGGACCTAACCGCTTTAGAAGAGGCTTTGGACAACAACAGTACAATAGGAGGCAATTCAGGAATGCTGCGCCCGGTCCCAGGAGAAGAGCAGCTGCTGCATTAAATGGAGTGAGCCCCTTAAATCGCCAGGCATCTGCTCAAGAGGTGGGGGGAATAACGAAGGTACAGCTGTTCCCAAACGTCATGTACACATCAGCTAGGTTTTATGATCCTGGATCACCTCAAAGAACAATCCACATAATAAATGTACAGGCACAGTCTTTTACGTGCTCGCACGCAGCATTTGTATGCATAGGTGAGTACGGACACGTGTGCATACAAAACAGCAATTTTCCGGTTGGCTTTGTAAACTTAAGACTTGGTATATTTTTTTTACTGAATCTGTTCCAATGGGTTTTCCAAAACAAGGTCTTAAAAGATGTGTTCTTAGGAGATTTTAAAATACTTCCATGGAAACAGATTGCATGTCGTCTCATCTTGCTATTAGCAGTTACAAGAAGTCCGTTAAGGTTCGCCATTATTTTTCCTGCACACAGGGCGTTTTCCAAGGCCCGCTGAAGTCAAAAGGCAGCCTGTTGTCGACTTGCTGGGGCTTTGGTTCAGAGCCGTACTTTTCACTAGGAAGTGGGTAGCCTGCCCCAGGGACGCTGATTCCCGGCTATGGGTCAGATTGCCCAGGTGCTTCAGTGTAAAGTGCATTTTTGTTGTCATTTGTGGCTTTCACTTTTTCAAGTTTAAATTCTCAGGTCTTGTCTCTGCTCAAAAACACTTTGAAAATGACTGAAACATTTTCATTTGATTTTTCGGTTATTTTTAAGACCCAAGAGATGGGGAAGAAGATGTGTGTGCACCATTAAAGTAAATCTTACAGCTTTCTTCTGAGTATCTCTAAAATTAAATTGGCTTGGAGTAGAAGGTGGAAATCCAGCAGGTAGATAGTCCTCTGTGAGAAGAGGTGTTTTTTTCCTGCCCTGGTAGAAATCTGCTCAATTAGGAGATCACGTATGCTCAGTAGGCTTTCAAAAAAACCCACTAAAGTGGTGAACCTGCTGGCACATTTGATGACCATCCCTTGAGAGTATAAATAAGAGAGCCCTAAACTGAGCATTCATGAGCATGAAGTGTGGTTATTCCTGAAAATACAGACTGCAATGACTCAGGTTATATACTGAGCGTGGCTGGGTATTAACAGAAGGTAATTAGTAGTTGCTAGGGGTATAATTCTATGGCAGCTTCCATTTTGCAGAAATAAACCAAGTGGGAAGGACGTGGAAACGCATCTTTCTTAGTGGGTAGTAACAGAGCGATGGTGGTTGTCCCATGGAAATATGCTGGATAAAGTACGGAGCAGCTGTAGAAGTAACAGCAGGAGGACCTACACCCCTGAGTAGGTGTCTTCTGATGTGCTGCATGCTCCAGAGCTCAGACGTGGCAATGTGCATGCCCAAACGAGAAAGAGTCTTTGACCAAAAGAAACCTGAGCAAAGCTATAGAGCTTGGCTTGTGCAACATTTGCACTCCACAGACTTTTATTTTTTGGTATGTCTGCACCATTAGAACGAAATGTTCTTCCTGTTACTTGTATTTTTGTACATGGTAATTGATGCACATATCCTGCTTGTTGACAGCAGTATGTAACAAATCCAAGTGTTGAAAAGAAACACTGCCCAGTAGTCTGCTGTAAATGCAAAAGAGCAGGGAAGAGAAGTGATTTTAATAAATTTTAGTTCGGAATCAGTTTCCCATTAAGAAAACATCAAAGGCAAAAACCAAAAACACCATTTGCAGAGCAGGGTTGTTCTGTTGTAAGACTGCAAAAGTTGCAAAGGAGAAACAGCTAACGCAGAGCGTGCAGTTCGGGGCTAAAACCCCTCGGAAGCCATCCTGAGCGGTGCTGAGCGCGTCAGTGAGCCGTGAAGGTACCGCTGCGCCGCCAGCTCTCAACACGTGTGCTTTGGAGCAGCGGAGTTTCCCTCTAGACAGGGCAGCAGAGGATGCCAAATAAATGCGCTCAGGCTTTCGAGCAACGGCAGTCGGTGACGGAGAGGGGTCGCCTGCTGCCGCTCGCGGTCGCTCCCTCCTCGCTTCGCCCGGCCAGAGATCGGGCGCCACTGACCGCCGCGCTCTCGCTGCTCTTCCAGGGTAGCAAGAGCGACGACGTTTTTGCCAAAAGCGGTAGCAGCGGGCAGCCGGAGGCGCGGAGACGGCCACCGCCGGGCCTCAAGAGATTCAGAGCAGCAGCTGCCAACACCCACGCCGCAGTGGGAAGGTAAAGCCCTTGGTGACTCTGGCCTTTTTGGGTCTCAGCAATTTCCTGGGCGCCTTCTGGGGCTGCTCTCCCGTTGTGAACTGCCGGCACGGCGAGGTCGCGTGGTGCGAGAGGAACACCCCGGCGCGTAGCAGCAGAGCGCTTGCAAATAGAAAAGAGAGTTGCTTGTGGTACCGGAGCCGTCCTTTTATTTTAGCAAGGAGCAAAAACTGTGACGTTTCTACTTTTATTAAACTTTTCATCTGTCACTACGGGGAAAGCTTGTGAAAGGTGAAATTTTCATAAAGACGTGAAATGTAAATTCCAGCCTGCTCCAGCCTTAAGGGATAGGTAGAGAGAGACTCCTTCCCGCGGCACCCCAGGCTATCCGCATCCCGGCTCCCAGGCTCGGTAGACGAAAGACCTCTAAACTAAGGCTGCTGCTGTTCCTCCTGGCTTCTTAGACACGTAGATTTTGAGGCCAGTTGAGATTCTTGCGTGTCCTGGACCACGGAGTTTCAGTGCCTGTCTCGTCCCGGTCCTTGCGTGCTCCGAGTTGGGTTTGGCAGCGCGGGTCGGCGCGTCCCTGCCCGAGCAGGGAGCCGGGAAGGTGGGAGTCTGCGGCTGGAAGGGGTGCGAGAGCGGGCCAGAAGCTTCCTTCTGACGTTTCTATTCAGATAAAATTGCCTGACCGTCAAAACACTCGGGCCAAGGAAGCTCAGTGTCAGCGTCTGGCTTTATTTGCTTGGAGCAGAGGAGGGACTGAATGACCTCCAGAGGTCCCTTCTGGCCAGATCTTTTCTGTAATTCTGTTCTATGACGTTTTTAATGGAAATAGTTGAGAACCAACAAAAGTCGTTGTATCGTTTGAGCAGGGAAACTAGTTCTGCTGAAATTCCTCGGCGGCAGAAAAACCTGTTGGGCTGAACTTGGTAACATGTATCCTAACTTGCTTTTCACATGCTTTTTAGCACCAAACTCGGTTAGATATTTCAGCGTTAAACTTCAGGAGAGACCTGGCATCTCGCTCACTGAGGTCCTTTTCTCTCCCCGCCACCGTTTGCAGCAGGCCTTTCGTGCTGAACAGGGGACCAGGCTTCCAGCAGAAGCGGATGCAGCAGCGCTACTCCAAAGCCAACTTCCAGAGAGGGGTCAGTATGGAGACATCTTCTGTGTGACTTGCTGAAGGTGACAACCCTTCAGTTTTGCCAGCCCGTGCCCAGCTGGATCTTTGCTTCCAGAAACGGCTGGCAGAGATGGCCATCTCTAACAGAATGTATTCCTAGGGAATTGTTGGCAGGGCAGGGCCAGTAGCTCTTTTTATGCAGCTTAATATTCTGGCATCTGGAAAATAAAGCCTGGACGGGTGAATAGAAGTAGGTCTTGTAGCTTGTATTTACGTTACAGGTAATTCTTTACTTGTTTTTTTTTATTTTTTCACAGCAAATGGATGCAGTTGGAGAAGGGAAACAACCAAGGATGAGAAGGTAACTGATGGAAAAGGCACGCTGCAGACATGATTTGCTTGTTAGCACTTGAATCAAAGCTGGATACGTTTCTCCGTCTTGGCAGGTGGCAAGTGAAACCCAGCCCCGGAGCAGTCCTGACGGTTTCTGTGGCTAATCCCCAGGCGAGCCAGACCAGCGCGTAAGTAAATGCAGTGATGTGTTAGGATGGGAGCCCTGCAAAAGCCATTGCAAATCCCTTTAGCGTTGCTGCAGCTTTGCTCCTTTTACGGCGAGAGCAGGCTCAGACCCCAAACGGTTAGCGAGCGGTGTCTCTCTGCTCTTGGCTTATCTGAAAGGAGGCTGTAATTACCTCGTTGTTTGTTCGTTATCCAGACTAATGGGGAAATGGGGATGCTGGCGGGCCGGGCGCGGGAGCTGGCTGCTGTGGGACCGCAGCGGCTGCTGAGCCGGTGGCATCGTCCGGGACCAGGCGACGCCGGCTTGCAGACGATAGCGAGCGAGCTGCCTTAGCCGCCGGAACGGATCCGGATGGAGGTGCCCTGTGCTTCCCGCAGGCCCGGAGGCAAGCGGCCCTTCCTGAGGAGCCCCAGGCCCCCGCCGCAGGTGGCCAAGCCCCAGCCCAAGGGAGTGCTGCTGAGGTTCAACTTCCGCGCGATGGCGAACCAGGTAGAGGATAGCCGACGGGACGCGCGGCACCTTGCGCCCGGCAGCAGCCACGTCGCTAATCTGTTAACGTCACGCTCAGGTTTTCGGGGCTGCCAGTTAGCTTTATCTCCTGTAAGGCGGGAGGAAAATCCTGTAGCCTGGCTGGACAGCTTGTTCGCAAAACTGAAGGCGCCTGAGAAGACTGTTCAGCGACTACAGACTCGGCCTAATTTTTCCCGTGCCGCTGCCCCCCTTGGTCTGTCCTAGCGCTTGCTCGGAGAGGGAGGATGATGCTCTGGCTCCTTGTGAGCGGTCCTGGCCGGGGGAGGACGTTTCGCTGGTGCTCCGGGCGCTCCCTGCTCCTCAGGGACGCGCAACGCTCCCTCCGGGCTGGGTTCCCTCTGTGCTTGGGTGACCTTCGCGGTGGCGCGTTTGCCGCTGCAGTATGGGGCAGGTCCGCAGTCCTGCGCCGCCGTCCTTCGTTGGCGACGCTTCTTGTCCGGCTGCTCGGGTTTTACTGGATGTCTCGTGCTCAGATGCCGCCTGCTTGCTCCCGTCCTTGCCGAGGACCCCGTGTGTGTCGGGGCCGGGGCGCTGCTGGGAGGTTCTCCAGCTGCACGCAGTCTGTCGAGCTCCTTGTCTCCGTGTGACGAGTCGTTTAATTGACTAACGGGCTGTGACGCGCCCTCCTGACTGACGGGCTCTAATCAATACCCCGCTACGAGTCTGGCCGCGCTTTGCCGTGAGACTCGGGACTGAATCGCTCTCCCTTTCCCCTGCAGACCAGCCTGACGCTGGATGAGAGATTCTCTGGTCTGAGGAATAAGCGGCGCTTTGCAGCGGCCAGGAGCGCTGGCCGGACGGTCACCATGCCATAGCGCCGCCCGCTCGGCGCGGGGACTGCCGGCAGCGGCCCGGCCCCGTCACGGGCAGCTCAATAAAACTCGATCCATAGATTTCCTCCGAGATAGCTAATTTGGCAACGTGCCGTCTCCTTCCTTACGCCCGGAACGAGTGAGCGAGCGAGGGCCGGGCGGCGGCAGCGGGCAGGCGGGGCACGGA